ATTATTATTGATCTAATTTACGTCCACACCGCGATTATATCGCGTCAATCTAGCGAATTGCGAAATTACATGACACGGACTCGTGTAACATCCGTCTGCACGTATATTACAGCGACTGTGAAAATTAAATGATCTAGCGACCGCGTGCGTGTGCAGTTATAGTTTATCTAACTAACAATTAATTTATACGCTATCGCGTTACTTTGACATCAATAAACACGAATACTATATATATATATATATATATATATATCTATGAATAATTTATAATGTAAAAAAACGCATAACCAGGGAATGGAAAGTTACTTTTTAAAAATAACTAGTTATCGTTACTCGTTACCGAGTTAAAAAAAGTAACAAATTACCGTTACTAGTTACTAATTTTTAAAAATAACTCATTATCGTTACCGTTATTTAAAAAGTAACAATTCGATACTTTTTTAATGTTGAAACAAAATCAGTCTAAATAATTTAAGATGCAATTTTTCGTTTTAATATTAATAAAACTAATACAACAATGACACTAGACCGATATATAAAAATACAACTAGGAAAAGGAAAGCCTTTTCGATATAAGGTAGAGCTTCCAACTTCGTGCTTAATATTTCAAAGTAAATTTATATATATATCCAATTCTACAAACTATGTATCAATTAAATTTTTTTGGTCGATCTTGAAACGTAATTCAGTTGATATTTTTCACAATAAATTTTTCAAAGTATTTTAATATGTTTATAACGTAAATATCTTAATAAATTACTTGTCAATTTAATTTGTGATATTGATTGACTTATGGCATTCTTAAAATTAATGTTATAAACCAATCACAGAGCCATATTAATATTTTAAGACATTATTTAAACAATCTTAAAATGAGAGTAAACTAGGTATGTGAATACTACTAGCTTAAGACTGAAGATTCAATATATATACGAAAATTGTGTCATAAATACAAAAAGTAACGATAAAAGTAACTATATAATTCGCTACCGTTACCGAAAAAATGTAACTATACGTTACCATTGCAGTTACCAAAAAAATAGATTAATGCCGTTAAAATCCATTACCAAAAAAATAACTGTAACGGTAACGGCGTTACAAGTAAGTAACAAGAGTCCAATTCCTGTTTATAACGTAATAAACGCATAACCGCGGATTACTAAATGACTCGTGACAATAATTTCGCTGACAATAATTATTCTGTTGCAGCGCGCCCGTGCCGGAATGCAAACCCGAGAACAGATCGGCACGCGGTCCCGGGGGACGCCCGGCGCCGCTCTTGCGCTCGAGAACACTACCAGCCATCGTCGTGCCCGGCCTCAACATACTACAAGCTCAGATCGATGCCCGTTACAACGGTGACTATTAAAGAGACTAATACCACTTTGTTATCCTCTTCCGCGAATGCCTTACATTTTTTTTCGTACGAGTACTCTGCCATCATTGTGTTGCGCCTAGATTCATTTGTTACGATAATGTCTCTCTTCTGGCCCTCCCTTTCTGCAACGACCGTTGCTTGCAGCCTCTCCTTCGCGAGTTGCGTTTCGCGAGGCAGTTTCGAGTATACGCAGTAATCTTAAAACGCTCCTCTTGCATCCTCTCTTCGCTGGCAATCCGCTTTTGATTCGCGCGAATACAATTCCGCTCCTTATACCGTATTGTTCTATCACATTTTTCCTACTAACCGTTTCCCGTCGCAAGAGAAACAACAGATTGCGACAGCAAATGTTAATATTTACGAAAGATCGTAGTAATAAATAAATTAATAATCGTCTTATTATATTCGTATAACTTAGTCCTCTTTGCACGTCGTTAATGCATTTATCTATCACTGTGTAAGCATTTCAAATTGCCGCAAGCCAAGTATTCTTTCGGTATTTACTAGTATTTATTTAGTCGTAAATTTGAAAAGTTATCTAATAGTAGAAACATTCTCGACTCTCGCTAAGAATACGCGCCTAAAGCAGCCCCTCTTACATTTAATCATGGTCGTCTTTCGCTCGCATCCAGCGGTAACAACGGGGATATCGGTCGTTCCACCTTCCACGGACAATACGACCTGCGCGAAGCGCGGAAGCACGGCTTCCCATTGTACCAAGCTTCTTACACCGAGAATATCCTTTACGGACGACACGATAGGTAAGGTACTAAGAATTTATGGGATAAGTCGTAGAATGGGACTCTCTCGCGAGAGTTTATATATTGGGGCTTTCAGCACCGAGTCGCGTTTACGCTTCAAAAACTGATGTTCTTATGCTACTCTCTCGCAGCCTTATACATATATGCCCACTTTTCTAAGCTCTCTCTCTCTCTCTCTCTCTCTCATTCTTCCCGTTTATGCATGCGAATCTAAGTAGACTTCCAATAGGAGATTGCTACTCGTAATTTTTCTACTAGGACTATCGATGAGTAGATTAGATATACGATGTACTAATTTTTTCTTAATGTACCTATATAACGCAGAGTTTGAGCATGTTAATAACGAAGTTATTATTGTAGTGTCATTGAAAAACTGTGAGCAAAAGTTCAGTGAATTTTTAATTATATGCACAAACCAGGTAACACATGCAACTTTGAAACGACGCAGTCGTATTTTTGCAAATAGTATATTATTTTCTCAGTATAAAGTACTTTTTTTAACACATATATGCAGTGTTTGTACATACATCCAATTTAATGAAAATTCGAGTAACGCACTTTATGTTATGTTTCAACAATAGAATTATTATACACTCTGTTTTATCGTGTAAAAAATCATGGAATATCGCTGAAAAATTGTACATTATATTTTATAATGATTCTCCTTTTCTTTCAGAAAATACATTTTGTTTTTAGAATTATCCGATGTTGAAGAAACATGAATCGTATTGCGAGAACGGTATCACAAAACTCATTCGCTTCGTAAACGCGCGAGTGCAGGTTCGTGAGGGTGCCGAGGGAGTTGCCGGGGATGGATTTTACGCGGCCGGTATTGACTCCCGGGCAGCTCGCCGAGTGATCGTTGATTGCGCGTCCAGTCGCGCGATTCCTCATGTCGGATTTCCTCTGTGACAGAACGCCGCGTCTCCGACTCCGGTCCAGCGAGCAGGGAATCCTCCAAGGAGCATTCAGCGAGGAGCGGCAGGCTGAGCGCCAGCAACATCGGCGGCGGCTCACAGCCCCTCAACAGGCTCGCGCGGCTCCTGAACCAACGGCCGAGCTTCACGCCGAGCGATGAAATTCCACGACGGCTCTCCTGGGAGAGGTACGTTACCGTGCCGCGCATCTCGATCAAAGCGCCGCTGCCGCGCCCGCGCCCGCGCCGCGATTTGATGTTCACCGTTCCGGCGAAAATCAAATCGCCACGTCCCTTGCAATCGTATTACCGCCTACGATCAGATCCAAGACCTGACCTGACCTGATCTGACTGTAAAAGAACGATTGGACGAACTAAATGGGACGGATATTATAATTTCTGCGAGACGAGCAAATGAAGGCTGTATTTTTCAAGAACTGTAAGAAACCTCGGTCAAAAGTACCCTACTATGTAACGAGCAAATGGGGCAAGATTGGCTCCAATCAGCGATCGACACAAAGAGATATATCAGTTAGATCCGACGGAATACGAAATTAGATGGAAGGCCAATAGACAAACGTTCCGCTCGGCGGAAACTGCTTAATAATCGCACTCAACATTTGCTTTGCAAAGCGTCCTCGCCGGATCAGAATTAAATTTTGGATTGGCCGTTGTACCGGTCCGTTGTAAAGCATCGAAGAAATTGCATATTCTTTATTGAAGTACGAATATGAATAAGCTCGATTTTTTCCAAGTTTTGATCTAGAATAATAAGTGGAAATTGATTGATATGAAATATACAATTAAGTAGAACTAATCCGGTCTAACAATTTGATCAAAGACCGAATCTTAACTCTTAGTTAATACACTGAGAGAAAAATTTTTGATATTTGTAACTATAATTACAAAGTGCCATAATTATGAATATTACTACTATAATGTTAGTAATAATAATTATATGTATAGTTTTATCAATAAATATATGTATATATATAGTTGATATATATATTATATAGTTGGCCCTAAAAATGACTGTAAATTATAGTTAAATAATGATAATTTCAATCATTTTTATGGTAATAATAACTATAATGTATAATGAATTTTGGTGCTGTTGTATATTTGTTGATAAAACTATATATATAAAATTATTATTACTAACATTATAGTAGGTAATAATCATAATTATGGTACTTTGTAATTATATGTTACAAGTACCAAAAATTTTTCTCTGAAGTGATTCTCACATACGATGATTTTCTGGTTTGGACTACACTTTGGGTTGTTCGTATCTGAATAAATTTCTATCACTTTTACAAGTATATAAAAATGATTAAGCGATTCTTACATTTTTAACATCTTTAGAAAGCATTCGTGAGATTATGTGCTAAAAAATTGTAAATAAATATTATAACTAATTATAATCGACATGAATGATTCAATCGTAAGTATTAAGGATTAATAATACCTATTTCTACGTGATTTCATATACATTTTCCGGTTTTGTGAACTATAAATCGCCGAACTTTTGGTCTTGAAGTACAATTCTAATAGAAAATTGGAATAGTAATATTAAAAACAAATACAAATTTAATACAAATTAAATAACTATTTAATTTAATAATGCTAATGCTAATAAACATCTTTAAAGTAGTGTAAAGAATTTATTGGGAAAAATTTTACTCTAGTCGAGGTTTGAATTTGGATCTCCCTATTATCTGGAACGAACCTGATCTTACAGCTTTAATCAAATGTATTATAGGTACCTTATCATTATTTAATGTTCCAGCTCAAAAATTGATTTATGACACATTCGCTATAAATTGTTCTTTGTTTTATGAAGCTTTTAAACTGTATGTACATACACAGAAAAAATTTGTTATTAAATTTAACACATTTCACGTGTCCCAAACGGTCCACTCAAATTTTTGTTGTCAATTTAACACAAGATGAATATGTTAGAAAATAACACAAATAACATTTAAAAATTAACACCGCAAAAATATAATACTGACACAATTTGGAAATACTTTGAAAAGAAACATATTTCTTTAGTAAAATTAGTATTTGCTATGTTAAATACGTAGTTGTACGTATTTAAATCAATACGTACAACCATCTTTTACTCATCTTATCTTACAATTTACATTTTAAAACTACATTATTTATTCAATTATTTATAAATTGTATTATTTTTACACTAAAAAATATTAAATAACAATTTTTATTATAAAATATTTAAATAATCATATCATGTCAAATTAACACTGAGATATATTAAAATTCTGCATTAAATATTTTAAAGATTTGAATTGTTCGTTAGGTAAAAGAACTTCGGCTAAATGAAAATAATATAGGTGCCTATAATATTTTTGGTCAAGGCTGTGTCTATTTTTATCAAAAGATTCACAAAATAATCTGTAATTGACTATTTAGTGATCCTCTTGACAGCAGTCCCTTCATCACGCTGTCTACATCTGCCCGTCTCCGCAGAGACGGTCTTATTCGCATGACTTGCGATATGATCGAGCACATTTATTTCGCGTGACTATAGAAATATTAGATTATTAAGGAACATCTTGGTAAAGTAATGATGTGCATAAATCGCTCGTGCTTAGTGAATTCCTCCGGAAATGATGGCGATAAGTCATCTGGACGATAAAGGGCCTCGAAAAGGAAAAGTGATTGTATTATAACGGATAATGTCGTTTCTTAGGGAAAGATACTGAAAATAGGAGATCACGTGTGTGGCTATAGACGCCGCGCGTACATACGCGTTTTCATAAAATATTATGATTGTTCTCGTTTGGCAAATAAGGCACGGACATCAGGTTTCTCATTGAAATCGATGACCGGCGAGCGCCGGAACGGTTTCCTAGTTAGTGATACTATTGTGAGTATGCTTTTATCGATCGTGTCGATGAATAGCGCTTTGATAGATTTCCTGGTGCGGTACCTCGCGCTCGTATAGGCCGTTTTCATGTAAAGTGGAAAGCAATTTTCCTTGAATACATTTCCTATTTCGTAAACACACAAATTCTATTCCCGAGAACAGAAGTGCTGATTGTTTTAGAGATATCCCTCTCTGCGAACGCTCAGCCTTGCCCTTTCGATAGACTTGACATTATTATTATTATGCCTTCAGTTACGAAAATTGCTTCCAGAATTAAAATACAAATGTCACGGAGTTATTTCCAAGGAGCGAACGGTATTTCGACTGCGTTCACGAGGGAGAATCAAGGCCAAGTACTCGGAGCCGTCACGATGAAAGTAATAGGCTTTTTCGTTAATTCCACGCTAATGTTAATACCGAAAAAAGTATCTCTTTTCGTGGAATTGAACGCAATTAGCCCAGAGGGGCGGCCCTTTGTCGTTCTTATCTCTCGGTATCTTCCTAAGTAGAACAACAGGCCACGATAACGTTAAAATTAATCAATTGATCGAAAAGTGACATTTAATAATCATTTTTGGTGCCATTTAACATCATTTTGATACCATAATGACTTTTTGTTTTGTTTGAATTATCTCTTATCGTTGATGCTATTTACGTAACTTCGATCTCTTTAATTTCAGCGTAAATCAAGACTTATCTCAAGCACGAGTGTAATTGTTTTCTTATATTAAGCAGGATTGGCTCTGGTATCTGTTTGTAATGAAAGTTTCTCATTCCCCATACATCCCTTGAACTTTATAAAATCTTAAATTTATTAATAACAAATATGACGCAAAACTCGATCGGCATTCCTCGATTTTTAACTTATATTTACTGTTTTCAATAACAAATCGACCTTGAAGATTTTCTTTTTGGATTGCTGAAATATGAAATCAAAATTTTTACACACGTAATAATACAACACAATTTCTTTTTTTTCGTAACTGAAATCAACAAGCTTTTCTATTGTTTTTCTACCTTTATTTTGATGCATTTTTTCTTTTATAGAATAATGTTAGTATTGTACATACATAGTATTGTACGAAATAAACAAAGAGCACATATAAACGTATGTAAATAATTTTGAACGATGCATGCATAAAATATTCAAAATACTACGTTACAAATAAATAATATATAAAAACCAATTCGTCACGCATTTTACGTATTATTTATTTTGCTATCAGTTTGATTTTTGATCCGGCTGGCTGAGGAATTGCTAATTTTGCACGCAGTCACATGTAAATGGTAACATTATAATTGGGAACTGAATAATTTGGTTTGCGATGGAGAGACACGAGCGTAGGTGTAGACGTACCTAGGACATCCCACTTCGAGTCATCTGGCGTCTTCATTATACTATAAACACGTATGCTCCCGTCTCGGCGATATTAAATTACCGTCACCCTCGAGTGGCGGTAGGTCGTACGGGGGAAACGCTTAAAACGGGGAAAAGCACCCTGCAGCCGCATGCACCAGCAGTTGGTGCGAACCGCGCCCATGAAAATGCATCGATCGCTTGATTTATGATCCTTGTCACATCAACGCGTCATTCACACGGAATGGACGGAATTCCACTTCTTTGCTGTTATCGAAGAGAGAGCGTGGAGCTCGCTTTTTTTCATCATGGATTACAAACTTTCCACGTGAAACGTGATCAATTAGATGTAGAGGATACGCCCGAAATTGCAAGCAGCTGGAAAAACGCACAATAAAGAAGTCTTCCATAATGATCATAATCTATTTATTGAAGAAAGATGTAAAACGTACAAATATCGTGTGAAGAAGAAAGTCTATTAACACTATTATTGAATTATCGAACTATTAATTATATATAGTTTTAATTAATATTATATTTCTTGTATGAAAGGATTCTTTGAAATTTTTGACAATTAAAGTACGAGTTATAATAATTGCTAATATTTAATAATTAAAGTACGAGCAATTTCTCGAGCATTAGATCCATTCCATATATTCATCAATTTTAATATTGTATTCATATTATTGAAAAACTATTAACAAAACTTTAAATTAAAAATGTTTTTAACAATTATGTCTTTTGTACTGGTAAAATATTTGATTTTTCATTATTTTTTTTATTTCTATACTTAACTTATATATTCGTTTGTATTTTTTAATGAGTAAGAAACGCGTGTGTACTTTTAGTGTTAAATATTATACAATAATATACATCTTTTTTGCTTCAATTTCCATGCTATTCGTATTAATCAGATAATATCAATTGGCAGACGAGACTACAGTACGACGAGTTCCTGTCTGCCAAGGAGCAGTTCGATCGACAGCGTGGCGGAATGGGGATTGACAGGAATAGGGGCCTCCATCGATGGAAACAACGGCGCAAGCACCGGCAGTAGTTACGGCCTATTTGTTGAGCATCCGCCACCGAGAAGAAGTCCAAGTCCGCTGTTGGGAGCGAGAAACGATAGACTGAGCATAGTCTCGCCCAACATCGGCCGAAGGGTGAAAGGCCACAGAGCGATTGTAGGTAAGCCGTTACGTATCATTGAGAAAATGCACAATTTTGCGGTAAAGACCCCTTGCCGCCAAAAGACAGATATTTGCCAGCAAACACAGATTATAACTATAATATTGCAGCATTGTAATATTTCTGCAATATAATTGGAATGTTACAATGTTACTGCAACATTGCAGTTATAATCTATGTTTGCTAGAAAGATCGGTGGTGGATTCTTTGAATTTGAAGTAAATGCTCTAAATGCTCCTTTTCTTCCCGCCTTTTAAATTCTAAACGATTTCGAAGTCTCTAATTGAAGCTATTTCCACGAACGTTAACAGAAAGTTTAATTAATTAACTGGACGGGTACAGCGCCTAATCAAAAGAGAAGCGCCTCGACGCGCAATTTTGTGCCAAATTATTAACCGGGCGCGATTTTATGCCGGATGCTGCAATGTCTGCGAAATTAGAGCGACAGCTAGCTCGTTCAGCTCACATAATGTAATATACAGAGCGCTCGATATATTTACTTCTCACGGTGTATTTGGATATATATCCGTGGTAGTCGGCATCAGGGAATTACTGCGAGAGATTCCCTATTCATTTAAAGAAAGTAGTAATAAATTTATTTGCGAGCTCCGACTCAAAAGGCATTAATAATCGCTTTACCGTGCCTTTATAAACGGACAGTAACGTCTTGGAAACGCGAGATTTTACGCACGGAGAGGAAGAATTTGTAATTAAAGTGTAGATAAAATAAATTTTTTCTTTGCGCATTAATTAACGGAGAATCTTAATTTTATTACCGTCAGAGAGAAAGAGAGAGAGTTTTCAATCTTGCACGAAGATCTTGCACGAAATTCACACCGCCAGATTTAAATGATTGATTAATCCATACATATCCGCACGAAGTTTGCAACTTCCGCGATTAATCGAATTCAAGCTCGAATCGTTGAATCGCTCAGTAATTTAATATACGGCCGAAGTTGCAGCTTCGCCAATAATCGTTCGTAACAACGTAACGGCGAAAGTTATAAATTTCAATTATCCACCGACTGAGCGCAGTTTCACATGCACATCGATTAATACACACTTATTATAGTCAAATATTATTTATATTCAATGCCTACCGTATACATACAAAGCGCTACAATATTCGTCGCAGAAGCACGTGTGTGCCTGTTATATGAATGACCTGAAAATGTTCAATAAAGTATAAAGTACGTGCAACGGTTGCGAAAATGTAATATGGACAACTTTACGACATATCGTCAAAAGGACAAAGGATATTTTATGACAGCGTATAGACATCCCTTTTTTAATATTTGTCTATAAAATTGTCTATAAAAGCGACTACGCAATATGCGGATTAAATGCAGGCACACCAGCTGCGGGAGGGAAACTTGACCCGTTTAACAATCTTTTACTTGCAAACTCGCGAAGCGGATTTTGATTTTTTTTTCGTTTTTATTGCCAGTATAATATGCGGTCCATCTCGTAAAAGCGTGGCCAATGGCCATCCATACATTTTTTAAACTGTTGCAATAAATTTTACAACTTGAAATTTTATAAAGTAAAATGAACGCGCCGTCGCGTAAATAAGGCGATATGCTTTTCTTTATGAACGGTGTCAAATATTCAATCATTCTTCTTTATCAGAGAGACAATACTTTGGTTTAACGAGACAAGTTTGCCTATAACCACCATTTATGATAAAAGTGTATCTCGACAACGTCTGCCGCTCGGGAGATAAGCCCTCGAGGGAAAGTTTTGAGACATCGAGGATCGCTGTGACTTAAAGTTAAATTGCAAGAACGACATTGTTTAATCGGAATTCTCAACATTCGTAGGGCTAGTATCTATTACGTTTGCCACATTCGTAATCTCGATGAATTGGAGAAATTTGCTATTTTGAAAATACAGTCGAACCTCGATAACCTCGATAACTCGAACCTCTAGAACTCGAAAACCTCTATAAGACAAAAATTTTGATCATTCTCTTCGCTCTATTGCGGAAAACCTCTATAAATTAAAATAAAACCTACCTCAGCTTGAATTATTTGTCAGATATTTTGATGTATTACTCGTATTTTACCTCTGCAACTCGAATTTAAAGTAGCTAGACCTCTACAAGTCGAACTTTTATTGTCGCTGCCACTATAATTGGAAGTTGTAGCTATGTGTAAACATAAATAATTCAACACGTTTCTCTGTGTATAATATGACATGTAGTATTAAATGTGGAAACGCGTATTTCCAAATAATTCAAATGTGTGAAAAGTACACGTATAAAATAACTTTACACATTTAGCTCTTCTTACACATGAGTTTTACGTGTAATTATGAGAAAATGTGTATTAGATTGAAAAACAATTCTTAGCGATTTTTGATAAAAGGTTGGGCAAAAATACGAATTTTGTCCTTAAACTTTTATCTTATGTATAATATTCTATGTAGTTATAAAACACCGAATATTTTTAAATAATAATTACATGAATTTAAATTTACAATATGATAAGTTTATATAAATTTTTACATTTAAAGGAGGATGGGTAAAATGACCAAATATATAATATTTGCCTAATTGATGAAACCTTTCTTATGCATGTTTTCTTATGTTTTTTGATGTGCTGAATCATTTGCAAATGTTAATTTTAAACTGATATAATGAGAAAGTGTTGAAAATCACATTTAAAGTAGCAGTTTCGTCGAAATCTGAACAAAAATTCAAGAGTATGTAATACTTTCTTATCTTCTTTTTCTCTTTCTATCATCTTATATCCCATCCCTCTACTCTTACTTAATCTAATATCCATTCTGACATCACCTAATTTTACTCAGTTCAATCTAACATCACCCAACCTGTTCAACCCAAACTATTCCACTCGTAGCATGACCTAGGACCAATAACGGGCATGGCGGTTATCAGATCCCGTGTTTGTGTATGTGTTTAAGAAGTTTATAAATTATCATTATGTAGTTTTAACTGCTGTTTGCATAAAATTGCTACCATTATATGGTATTTATCTCATACTTATTGTTAGAAGTGATTCCTGAATCAGCAAGATATTATGATGATGATGACAATGACAACTAAACTATACATAATGATAATTTATAACGAACTTTTTAAACACACACACACACACACACAAGTATCGAGCATAAGACAAATAATGGTAGCAATATGCAAACAGCAATTAAAACTACATAATGATAATTTATAAACTTCTTAAACACATACACAAACATGGGATCTGATAACCGCCACGCCCGTTATTGGTTCTAGATCATGCTACGAGTGAAATAGTTTGGGACAGATTGGGTGTTAGATTGGGGATGTTATATTGAGCTGGGTAAGATTAGGTGATGTCAGAATGGATGATACTAGATTAAGTAAGAGTAGAGGGGTGGGATAGAAGATGATAGAAAGAGAAAAAAAAGATAAGAATTAAGTGTTACTCTTGAATTTTTGTTCAGATTTCGACGAAACTGCTACTTTAAATGTGATTTTCAATAGTTTCCAATCATATCAGTTTGAAATTAACGTTTGCAAATGATTTAGCACATCAAAAAACATAACAAAACATGCATAAGAAAGGTTTCATCGCTTAGGCAAATATTTGATTATTTTACCCATCCTCCTTTATTATTATACATTTAGTTTTTGATTTATTTTAAAATTACACATTTGGAGAAAATTGCATTTTAGAAAAAATATATTTGCAAAATAATCGCATTAGGTAAAATAGACGATTTTAAGGTCTTAATATGCGCGTTTGACCGTTCCAAATGCAAAAAAAAAGAAAAAGAAAATATTTCATGAAATTATTAATAAATCTGAATGGCTGACTTGTCATTGCCTGATGATGCAATCACCAAAAGTAATAGTGCATGCATGATACCACATATTATTGTAACAGCATAATTTTATTTGAATGTTATGAAGATGATTTACCAGTTTTTGGAAAAGTTTGTGAAATATTTATTTTTAACAAAGAATAAATTTATATCAAATCACAAATTTCTAATATAATAAATTTTGTGAAAAAAGTTAAAGATTTACTATTTTCTTATCCACTTTTATCTTTTCTAATAAAAATTAGAAAATACATACCATTAATAAATTACGAACGTATTGAATTTTATGGATAAAATTATAATATAAATTTATTATAAATTCAAAATATTCAGTTTGTAATGTTGAGATAATTATAGAATTTCTTCGTTAAAAATAAATATTTCATCCACTTCTTCAAAAACTGGTAAATTATCTTCATAACGTTCAAGGCAAATTAAATAGATCAAAGAACAATTACTCTAAGTGTTACATAAAAAATTATGTTTTCAGAAATTAATAACGAGAGTATATTGTATAATAAGTAACCTATTTCTAACATCAAAAAGTTACAAATAAATGAGAATATTAGGCTGTGAGACAAATAATTAAATCAAATAATCAAATAATTAAATAAATACCTTTTAAAACCGACGCAATTCTTGTAACATAAATGTTTCTTTATTGTAAATTGTAGTAGATGTTTCGACCTTTGAATTGGGTCCTTATCACACGTATCTTGACAAGTATTGTTCCGCTTTAAACGCTGTAACATATAACTTTAATATTCTATTCGTTCCTACATTCTTGTTGAAATAATCAGAAAACTGATGTGTCAATTGATTTGATAAAGTCAATGACAGTAAAATAGAAGGAAAGAATCAAACGAGACAATAAGATGTGGATAGTCTCCATAAACATTTATTCGTTAACATGGAGACATGCTTCACCAAATCAAATTGACACATCAGTTTTCTGATCATTTCAACAAGAATGAAGGAGCAAATAGAATATTAAAGTTATGTTGCGGCGATTAAAGTAAAACAATATTTGTTAAGATACATGTACTGATGAGGATCCAATCCAAGAATCGAAACGTCTACTGCAATTTACAATAAAAGAATATTTACGCCACAAGAACTGCGTCGACTCTAAAAGGCATTTATTTAATTATTTGATAAAAAAAATACACATTTTAAATGTGTAATAATTTAATGTGTAAGCGTGTAAAAAATGCATTTAACTGCGTAAAATAACACAGATAAAATGTGTAAAAAGTGAATATGAACTACAAGATTTTACACACTTAAGTATGTAAAAATTACACACTTGGTTTTGCAGTGTAGTATATACTATACTGAGTAAAAAGTAGTAAACACAAGATCCTTAGTAAACATAAGACGAAAACTCAATTTTTTCTGAGATATAATCAATTTCTAATATTAGCATTTTAATATTATAACTGACTTACTAGTTTCTATGTGTCGCATGCAAAACGTAAAAAAAGAGGATAATCTTGCAAAATCTTTATTTTAATATTTACAAATTTCTTAGATTAGAATAATACGCTGACAATTTCAGCAATTTGTAACTGTGTAATCACCAAAAAGATCCGCAATCATCAATTGATGACAATTTACTAATTTCTGGTGAAATGATTCATTATAGAGTGTGTATGGAAATTGAATGAGGATATTCAAAACGCAGTTTGTAGACATTGAGGTAAATCTTCGTTGTGTGCAACACGTAGAGGCGAATAAAAGTTAATTAGGATATCAAAATACAAAATTGTTTATTTAATAAAATATATAATTATTGTCTTAATTGCTAGAAACGAATGAGCTTTCGACATACATTTATTAAGACATTTTTACTTATTGTCAGTATGGGATGTACTATCATAAATGCTGAATGTTTTCTGAACAACCTATATATTTCATTCAAAATTAACAAGGAAACGTAACTAAGTTTTCCTCCCTAATAAGCTTTGGATATGATAAAATGCAGACAAAGATAATAGACACATTTTTTTGTATTATAAATTCGGAGTCGCATGTTAAGAGTATAAAACTCCTTTGAAAAATATCGATTATTTTCTTTTAAAGCAAATATTGTCTAAACTACAAAAATGGAAAAAAATTTTTAAATAAAAGCTTAAATAGTTTCAAAAATACTTTATAATAATTATAAAAAAATTTTCTTTAATTTTATAAAATTATCTTTTTTAATAAAGGATATTAAAAACATTATTATTATTATTATTATTATTATTATATAATACTCTTGAATTAAAGCACTCAACTTTTAGTTAAAATTTTTTTTTCTATCTTTTATAATTTAAATGATATTCACATTGAAAGGAAATAACCTTTTTTTTAAGAAATAGTTTTTCGCCCCTTAACGTACAACTCAGTACTTATAAAAAATATATGTTTCTTATTTTTGTCTATTTTTATCTTTTTATATTAATATATTCAAAGCTTATTAAAACGAAGGGGGACACTTGGTTGTATCTTCTTGTAAGTATGTTGTTAAAACTTTCAATCTCAAAGAGTTGAATGTTGATTTTTTTTAATGAAAATTAGGACTAATAAGATTTTCGTGATCAAATATTGGCTCTATTGCAAGAAAATTGTAAATTAAATCATTATGGATTAAGTTCGTGCGAGCAAAATCTATATCGAATTTTAGATTAGATTCGCTATTGTATTTTCATCAATTTTAACATCGGATATTTCTAAAAAATTATTAACGAACTTAAAAAAAAAGTTTTTAATTTATATGCTTATTGTACTAATTTCACTATTTTCAATACATTACTTTGTATAAAATTGGAATTTAACCTGAATAAAAATCTTTGCATTTGAATAAATAATTAAAAAATGTAAATTGTGTGCTCGTAACTTTTGATGGTTTAATTATAACTTTTCATTTTTCATAATATTGCAGCTTCCAAACTACTCTATCTGAAATCTGAGAAAATCGAGATTAAAATAAAAGATTTTTGATTTCTAAGTATTAGATCTATTACTTAATATAGATCTAACATTAGTCATGAAAATCTCATATTAATTTTATTCTTTATAATAATAATAAATACTTTTCGAGAACTAAAAGTTTTAAAAATAAACTTTTATTTTTTTTTTTAATAAAATAAAACTTTTCCAATACGTATCATATGCCACAGATATATCGCGCTAAAATGAATTAAAATATCTCCTCTTGTTATACAATTTTAATCTAAATTTCCTCGAAATTCAGATAGAGCATTTTAGAAGCCAGAATTGTATTCGGCATCAAATTCTCTCTGTAAACTATCGGAAATGATTACTCAGTTTTATTTGGGG